ATAATATCTAGTATAGCTTACATATAAATATATATTGAATATATATAAATATACATCACTAAAATATATATATAAATAAATTTTCTTTATATATATAACTATATATATGTAGATATAAAATATATTTTTGAAGTCCTGAACATTAGGAATGAAATTCATTTTAAAACCACCCTGTTACCACTTAAAAGCTGGGGGAAATAAATCATGACTGAGCAATGTTAATTCCCTCCCTTGCTCTTGAGCTGGCTTGGCTGTTGAGTATTTATTTATTAAAATATATAGAATATATAAAAATATAAAACATATATAAGAGGGGGGAGAATTGGGAATTTTTTCTGGGTTATTTCTGGGATTATTTCTGGGATTTTGGCTGCCCCTGCATCCCTGGAAGTGTCCAAGGCTAGGCTGGATGGGCCAGGAGCAGCAGGATCCAAATCCCTGCAAGTTTAAGTAATTTCGCTTGAAATAAACTTTATTTCAAGTTTATTTCACTTGATTACTTTGCTTCAGCGTTGACGAATTTAATTGCAATTAAAATGAGGAATTACTTCCCTCATCCATCCAGGGCTTCACCTGAGCACTGATTTTTTTCCCCCTGGAATGAGCCCAGCATTATTTTTATTCCCATTTTCGGGGCGCTTTTCCAGCAATGTGTGCAACGATCCCGTTTAAACCAGCTCTAAATCCTATGGAATAAATCCACATCTGCTCGTGTTCAATGCAGCAAAAAAGCTCAATTTCACAACCACTTGCAATTTTTGTGCCCTTCCCAGTGGGACTTTTCCCAAAATCCCAGATTTTTCCAGGAGCTGCGTGTCCCTGTGCCCAGCTCGTGGCAGCTGCAAGGATCCGACTCTGTCCTGCCTTTTCCAGGGGCAAATTCCCTTTGTTTCCAGGGAATAAGAGGCAGTTTAGGCCGGGTTTAGCAATGCCAAGCTGGGCTTTGAGCCGAAGGTTTGGGATCAGACTCTCACCACAGGAATCTGAGCCGTGGGATCCCGGCAGCCCCTCCAAAGGAACGGAAAACTCCCCAGGGAGCCAGCTCAGCTGCCGAGCCGAGCCCAAGATTGGAATTCGCAGGGATTGGAATTCTCAGTGATTGGAATTCTCTAGGATTGGAATTCTCCAGGATTGGAGCTCTGCAGGATTGGAATTCTCCAGGATTGGAATTCTCCAGGATTGGAATTCTCCAGGATTGGAGCTCTGCAGGATTGGAATTCTCCAGAATTGGAATTCTCAGTATTGGAATTCTCAGTATTGGAATTCTCAGTTATTGGAATTCTCTAGGATTGGAATTCTCCAGGATTGGAGCTCTGCAGGATTGGAATTCTCCAGGATTGGAATTCTCAGTGATTGGAATTCTCTGGGATTGGAATTCTCCAGGATTGGAATTCTCAGTGATTGGAATTCTCTGGGATTGGAATTCTGCAGGATTGGAATTCTGCAGCATTGGAATTCTCCAAGATTGGAGTTCCCAGTGATTGGAATTCTCGGTGATTGGAATTCTGCAGGATTGGAATTCTCAGTATTGGAATTCTCTAGGATTGGAATTCCCCAGGATTGGAGCTCTGCAGGATTGGAATTCTCAGTGATTGGAGTTCCCAGTGATTGGAATTCTCCAGGATTGGAATTCTCAGTGATTGGAATTCTGCAGGATTGGAATTCTCCAGGATTGGAATTCTCAGTGATTGGAATTCTGCAGGATTGGAATTCTCAGTGATTGGAGTTCTCAGTGATTGGAATTCTGCAGGATTGGAATTCTCAGTGATTGGAGTTCTCAGTGATTGGAATTCTGCAGGATTGGAATTATCCAGGATTGGAATTCTCAGTGATTGGAGTTCCCAGTGATTGGAATTCTCCAGGATTGGAATTCTGCAGGATTGGAATTATCCNCAGGATTGGAATTCTCAGTGATTGGAGTTCTCAGTGATTGGAATTCTGCAGGATTGGAATTATCCAGGATTGGAATTCTCAGTGATTGGAATTCTGCAGGATTGGAATTCCCAGGGCTGGAATTCCCAGGGCTGGAATTCCCAGCAGGTTTTGGAGGGACAATCTGGTTGTGCTGAGCACAGGGACCCCCAGGGGGACGTTGCTGCCACTCTTTGCTGAGGAGCTGAAAAAAATCCCCTTTATAGATATAAATATATAAAAAACAAATCAATACATAAAGAAATAATATATTTCTATTATTTTATTTTATATATATAAACAAATATCAATAAATATTTATGTATGTATTTAAAAATCACTGAACTCAAGTAGGGTCTAAACACCCAGGTGGGTTTTGTGCCAGCTGGGATTTCCAACCTCCAAGAAACTCCCTGGAAAATTCAGTCCCAAGGCCACAAAATCCAGGAGAGCCCCTTCCATGAGCAAATTCCTGATTTTTTCAGAATATCCCGCATGGATTCTGTGAGCTGGGGAGCTCTCCAGGAATCTGCATTTCCCTGTAATTCCCAAAAAATAAAAAAAGCTTTTTGAGCCTTAAAAATACCAGAATTTGATAGAGCAGAAATAGGGGGGAAAAAGGGATTTTCCCCAGGTTTTGCCCCAAAAAACCTGGAGTTGAAGCGCCTTGAAGTCAGAAAAGAATGAATTAATTCCAGTAGAATGAATTAACTTCAGAAGAATTAATTAATTACAGTAGAATGAATTAATTACAGCAGAATGAGATGCTGCAGTGCAGTTATTTAGGATTGCTCTGGTGACCTGCAGAAATTCCATTTCTCCCTCCTTTTGCTTTGCTCCCTGGGCTTGAAAATCCAGAAAATTCCTGGAATATTGGAATTTTCACCCTGGTGAGGTGAGGAGAGGGATGTTTGTGGAAAAGGAAATCGGGGAATGAGGGGAGAGGTTGAGATCCTTGCTGACATTTGGGAGTGAGGAAAAATCATACAAATTCACAATTTAGGGACAAAAGCATGGACAAAATGTGAGTAATTGTTCCAGGCAGGAATGTGAGCAGGAATCCAAGGAAATTCAGGGATTTAACTCCATCCTTTTCTTTATGGAGCTCATCCCCAGCACCACCTGGCTGCTCCCTGTCCCCTTTTCTTTATATCCCAAAAAATCCCCAATCCTGAGCTGTAGTTTGGGAATTTTATTTCAATTCCCCCTGGAAATAACAAATCATTCCCATGTTTTCCTCCTGCTCCTACAGGTATAAACTGTATAAATAATTTGGTATATATTGTTTTATGCTGGGCATAAATCTGAGGAATTCCCGTTTATTTTGGGAATCCCTGGATTCTATTTTCCCTCTCTGCCCTGGGAAAATTCCGTATTTTCCATCATTTTATCACATTTAACCTGCCCTGGCTTTTTTTCCCCCCTCTTAATTCCACACACTTCACAGTGAATATTTAACCCTTTTATTTATACAAATGTACAAGAATTTACACCTGTTAAAAAACAATTC